ACCTAGGAATATACCTAACCAAAGAGACGAAAAATCTATACACAGAAAACTATAAAGTACTCATGAAAGAAATTGAGGAAGACACAAAGAAATGGAAAAATGTTCCATGCTCCTGGATTGGAAGAATAAATATTGTGAAAATGTCTATGCTACCTAAAGCAATCTACACATTTAATGCAATCTCTATCAAAGTACCATCCATTTTTTTCAAAGAAATGGAACAAATAATCCTAAAATTTATATGGAACCAGAAAAGACCTCGAATAGCCAAAGGAATATTGAAAAAGAAAGCCAAAGTTGGTGGCATCACAATTCCAGACTTCAAGCTCTATTACAAAGCTGTCATCATCAAGACAGCATGGTACTGGCACAAAAACACACACATAGATCAATGGAACAGAATAGAGAGCCCAGAAATAGACCCTCAACTCTATGGTCAACTAATCTTCGACAAAGCAAGAAGGAATGTCCAATGGAAAAAAGACAGCCTCTTAAACAAATGGTGCTGGGAAAATTGGACAGCCACATGCAGAAAAATGAAATTGGACCATTTCCTTACACCACACACGAAAACAGACTCAAAATGGATGAAGGACTTCAATGTGAGAAAGGAATCCATCAAAATCCTTGAGGAGAACACAGGCAGCAACCTCTTCGACCTCAACTGCAGCAACTTCTTCCTAGGAACATCGCCAAAGACAACAGAAGCAAGGGCAAAAATGAACTATTGAGATTTCATCAAGATCAAAAGCTTTTGCACAGCAAAGGAAACAGTTAACAAAACCAAAAGACAACTGACAGAATGGGAGAAGATATTTGCAAACGACATGTCAGATAAAGGGCTAGTATCCAAAATCTATGAAGAATTTAGCAAACTCAACACCCAAAGAACAAATAATCCAGTCAAGAAATGGGCAGAGGACATGAACAGACATTTCTGCAAAGAAGACATCCAGATGACCAACAGACAGACAAAAATATGCTCCACATCACTCGGCATCAGGAAAATACAAATCAAAACCACAATGAGATACCACCTTACACCAGTCAGAATGGCTAAAATTAATAAGTCAAGAAATGACAGATGTGGCGAGGATGCGGAGAGAGGGGAACCCTCCTACACTGTTGGTAAGAATGCAAGCTGGTGCAACCACTCTGGAGAACAGCATGGAAGTTCCTCAAAAAGTTGAAAATAGAGGTACCCTATGACCCAGCAATTGCACTACTGGGTATATATCCTAAAGATACAAACGTGGTGCTCCGAAGGGGCACGTGCACCCAAATGTTTATAGCAGCAATGTCCACAATAGCCAAACTATGGAAAGAACCTAGATGTCCATCAACAGATGAATGGATAAAGAAGATGTGGTATATATACACAATGGAATACTATGCAGCCATCAAAAGAAATGAAATTTTGCCATTTGCAATGACGTGGATGGAACTAGAGGGTATTATGCTTAGCGAAATAAGTCAATCGGAGAAAGACAACTATCATACGATCTCCCTGATATGAGGGAGTGGAGATGCAATGTGGGAGGTTTGGGGGGTAGGAAAAGAAAAAATGAAAGAAGGTGGGATTGGGAGGGAGACAAACCATGAAAGACTCAATCTCAAAAAACAGACTGAGGGTTGCTGGGGGAGGGGGGACAGGAGAGGGTGGTGGGGATATGGACATTGGGGAGGGTATGTGCTATGATGAGTGCTGTGAAATGTGTAAACCTGGCGATTCACAGACCTGTACCCCTGGGGATAAAAATACATTACATGTTTATTAAAAAAATAAATAAATTTTTTAAAAAATGAAGAGAACATGAGCTCTAACTGGCAAGGACCTTACAGGCTAGACTAAGAGACAGACATTTACTTCATAATACAAGACCTGAATGAGTAAGAGTGGGAATGAAAGGGTCCCTCGAGGGCCAGTGAGGGACAACGGAGAGCAACAGGGACAGGGGAGAGAGTTATCAGAGCAGGCTTTCCTGGAGCTGGTGTTGAACCAATTATAGGGTGGAATGCCTATGAGACACAAATGCAGGTGAAAAGTGCCACCTAGGAAACCTTAGAAGAATCCTTGGATTTAGCAGTTAACCTACTGACTAGAGAGGAGGGCAGAGAGAGAAGAGGGAAACATCAGCGCCAGGGGAATAGTGAGAGGCAATTTGGATTAGGAAATGCATGTAAGTTTTTTTGTCAGCTCCAAGGAAGTGAAAAAGCAAGGTGGGCAGGTCAGAGTTGGGGGACTGGGAGGAGATCCAGGACCTACTTTTGAAAAGGCAAAAACCCAAGGAGCAGGGCAGCAATCAGCCAGCAGCAGGTCCCCAGCAACTGCCGTGGTCACGCAGACGCTCCTGTCCACAGTGCTCGGACACCGCCTGAGCTGGCTCCCATGAACCCCCGCCCCGCCACGTCCTTGAACCCTCCCACTGGCCCCAGGAAACAATGCCATGTCATCGGAGGTTCCTCTGTGCAACCAGTTACCTAATGTCTAACAGACATTTCACATAGCACGGCCATAGTGGAAGTCCTGATCCATAGCCCCTTCAGCAAATCCTCCCCAAACCATTTGGCTGTCAAGCCTTGCATCGGAATAAATGCTGCCCACAGATACCCCGTTAATGAGCCAAAAATCCAGGCTTCATCTTATTTCTTTCTGTGTCTCACTCCCACATTAATAGGTTAGCTGGCTCGCTATCCATCTTCTATCCTGAAATTGGCCCTTTCTCTCCGTCTCCTCTGCCACAACCATGGTCCACGTGGTCCTTTTCTCTCACCCAGGTCGCTGCCATAGCCATGCATCCCTGCCTCCTGCCTCCACCCCTGGGTCCACCCCATCCAGTGGTCATGCCGGGGAAAGCGTCTGTCAGGACATGTCAGTCTCCTGCGGAAAATCCCCCAGCTAGCCACAATCTGAACGGCTCGCCTGCCTCCCGGCCCAGGGAACCTGTGCATCCTTCGCGCTGGAAGCCTGTGTGACCCCATCTGAGTCCCCAGCCCAAGGCCCCGCTGGAGCAGCTCTGCAGTCATTGCCTCTTACACGACCCTGTGTTATCTTCTCTATGGCACTTGGTGCTTGCCATATCTCACATGTTACCTTAAAAAAAAAAAATGCTATTATTTACCCCCACTACGATGTTAAGTATCTTGAGAGAAGGGACTCTTTCAAGTTTTTCATGTATCTCTACTCTAAGGCCTGGCACGTAGAAAGTGTTCAAAAAATATTTTTGACTGACTAATAATAATCTGGGAATTAAGGCTCTTAGTGACACCCCTTAGCTTACCGACCGTAAACAATTTTCTATCAAGACTGGATTACGATGATCCCAAAGTTACCTATAAATCTAAAATTATATAATATCTTATACAGGCCTGTGTCAGTTTTTTCCCTCTCAGTGATCATCTCAATCTCGTGAGAAGATGCTACAGTCTCATGTGATCTGAGCCTTTACCACCCGTCATGGTCTTCTTCCCTTGCTGTCTCATCAGACCTCCTCGTCTCACTCTGATGGCTTTGTCATTCTCTGCACTAATACATCAGGGAAAGTTAAGTGTGATTTTGAGCTCCAATGTGAAGAGGAACACTTGACCAAGATCACACCTGCTTGTCTTCCTGAAACACATTTTATTTGTAAAAAATATGTATATTTAGGAGATTTGTGAAGATCTCATACTTCCTAAAGAGTGATAAACTGGGTAGAGAAGATTCCAACAGATCTGTTACTAGAAATAAGATTCACGATACGCTGAGGTACAAAAGCAAAGCGTTTGGTTGAGTTCACTCACTCAGCCCATCGCTCTGGAAGGCTCGAGGTAGATACTATGGCGCAGATGTGAGCCATGTGAAGTAGATGCTCATAGATGGTCATAATCCTGAACTAAGTTCACTGAAATTTCATTACAATGTCTTCTAGGCTAAAGCTGGAGAAGAATACTCATTACAGGAGAGAGAGAAAAATAGAGATTGAATTAGTCCTGGAAGTGGTATTGGAAGAAAGAACACATACTGAAAATACGGGGAAAAATCATAAACACTTCAAGGAAGATCAAGTGGAAAATAAGGAATTTTGTAATTTAATTGACTTTATTTTTTTTTAAGATTTTATTTATGTATTTGACAGACAGAGATCACAAGCAGGCAGAGAGGCAGGCAGAGAGAGAGGGGGAAGCAGGCTCCCTGCTGAGCAGAGAGCCCGATGTGGGGCTCGATCCCAGGACCCTGGGACCATGACCTGAACTGAAGGCAGAGGCTTTAACCCACTGAGCCACCCAGGCGCCCCTTTAATTGACTTTATAAAAGATAAAATACTAGCATGTCATGCCAGTGTTACTTTAACATGAAAGAGTACCTTTTCTTTCTTCTTTTCACCAATTGTGATCATTTGATATAATCGGCCTGTTCGGTGTTCCACCTCAGTAAGACTGTTTGTCATTGTTCTGATAATGGACAATGGAGAACATTTCTACACAGACACGAGAGAACGCTGAAATGAAAGTGTTTGTTTAGAGGTCATTGTGTCCAAAGAGGCAGAAAATAAATTCTTCTCAGACATTGGCTATTTTAGATAATCCCTCACCCCTTTTGCTGTACATTAATGCAGTTTATAGAACCCCCGCAGTAATACGCTCCCTCTGAATAGAAATAATCTCCTTCCCTTAAGAATATCCTGAAAGCAGATATATAACTGGGCCATTTCAAAATCGCGTATTATTTCCTTTTACTAATAATTCTCTGCTACCACCAAATATAGTAATAACAGTCTCTCATACATTGACACATTCATGAAGTGTCCATTTCTCACTGAAAGAATTATCTGCTTTTCATATTGGTAAAAAAAATATTTATATATTCCCCAAGTACTGCATCCCACAAAATGCAAAGTGGTCTTTTTTTTAAAATAAATATTTTATTTATTTATGTTTTTGAGAGAGGAAGCACGAGTGGAGGGAAGGGCAGGGGGAAAGGGAGAAGCAGGCTTCCCGAGGGGACACCCGGGTTCATGACTTGATCTGAAGGGAGATGATTAACCCACTGAGCCACCCAGGTGCCCCTGGAAAGTGGTTTCATTTCCCATTTATATTAAGAGTAATCTTCAAAGTGTCTTGCTAGTTCACTGTGTTTCATTTTCTCTGTGAATAGTTCATCAAATACTCTCCTCTGCTTTGAAGTAAAGTAGTTTATCCAATCACCCACCGCTCCTGGAAAAATTGGAACAGACAAGAATCCATTTAAATATACAGTATTCACAAAAGAGAGCTGTCAGATTTGCAATAAAATGTGAATGATTTCATTTCTTGCTGATAAGATGATGCAGGGTTATTCTTTTCCTCGTTTGCGTGTTTGTTGTTTCCAATTTCCTCAGTAATGGTTGCATATTAATATGTACAGTGTAAAAAGTTAATTCTTAAAAAGAAAATAAGATTCAGATATATAAAGGTTCTAGGTTTTATGATAGCAGGCAAAGAAATGTCTCAGCTAACCTTAGTTAAAACATAAAAGCTGGGGTGTCTGGGTGGCTCAGTCGGTTAAGGCCCTGACTTTTGGTTTTGGTGCAGGTTGAGATCTCAGGGTTCTGAGGTCAAACCCTGTTTGGGGCTTTTGAGTGTGGAGTCTACTGGATATTCTCTCTCCCTCTCCCTGCCCTTCCCGCTTGTGCCCCCTCTCTGTCTCTCAATCTCTCTTTCTCTCTCTCTAATAAATAAATACATCTAAAAAAAGAAAAAAACATGAAAGCAGACAAAGTGGACATAATGCCACTTATTTCCCTGCCTGTGCACCTATGAAGCAATGACTGTGCTGATACCCTATCACAGGCCTGGGTAATCAGTCTCTCTTCTTGATTCAAGTATCATTAACACACAGTGTTACAGTAATTTCAGGGGTACAGTGCAGTGATTCAGTAATTCTATGTGTTACTCAATGCTCATCATGATAAGTGTACTCTGAAACCCTTTCACCCATTTCACCTTAATGGGTCTCACTGTAAGGAAATGTACTTCACAACACTGATAACAGTTGAAAATACCAGCACCAAGTTAGTTGTGTGATGTCCTTACCTTCGAACAAGGTGTTTGGAGAGCAAAATCAGATCTATCCTTCCCTCGGTCCATCAGCCTCTCCTGATCCTGCAGGTCACCCTCAGCCTTGGCCACAGCGCCAACCCCTCAGGACCACTCTTCTTGCCTCTATCAAGCCCCAACCCTGGATCTTGCCCATCGTGGCCTTTAGTCACTTCTGGCCTCAGGCTTCATTCCCAGGGCCTCAGCGTATAGATCCTGTTACACATCATCTTCCCATATCAGTACTTCCTTCTCAGCAATGAAAGTTATGGGGAGGAGGGTAAGGCGGCTTGGATTCAAATCTTCACTCCACCAGTAACTAGTTGCACGACCTTGGACAAGTTGTTGAGGTGCTCGGCATCTTAGTAAAATGTAAACACTATGAACACCACCCTCAGAATTCTGCTGTCAAGTGTAAGATAACTCCAGTAATGTGCCCGGCACACAGTCAGCCCGCAGTAAATGCTGGCTATTCGCACTCCACAGTCTTCCTGGCTACATAGGAAACCCCTGTATGGATGTGATGTAGTACATTTAACGCTTTCTGATTAGAGGCCAATTGAGTGCATTTCAGGTTTTCAATGTCATGAACAATATTACAACGTGCATCCTGTCCATACATCTTTCCATAGTCTTGTAATATCCCCCCCTAAATTTTAGTACGTAGGGGCCCTGGGACTTCTGACACTGACGTGGACCACTCTGTATCTTTGCCTGCCACCTTATCTCCATAGGCAGTTTCTAGAATATCAGCTCCTCTTCCAACTTTAAAGCCAACTGCAGGCATGAACCCTCCTCTGTACCGTGAGGAATATCTCTTGCACCAAGGAGTCTGAATCATCCGCTTCAGTCACTTACTTAACATGATTATTTTCAGGGGATGGATCCCTACTCCCACCTCGTCCAGCCAATAGAAGGAATAAAGTGAGTGGACCCATCCTTGTGTTTAATGCCTCGTATAGTCCAAATTTAGCAATAGGCAGTCATGGGGACCAGTATCAGGGTTAACCTTCCATGTTTTGTCAGATCCTATACAAGGAAACCACTTTCTGCTAGAATTTAAATGCATTAGAATTAATGTTTGTTAGCTACAATTATATTGATAGGGTTTCACCTGGGGATATTTGTAGGGTTACTACCTCTGTTTTCCTTAGAGTAAAATTTCCCAAGTTAGTAGGATAACACGGGTGAAAACTGTGTATTTTGCTAATCAGATCTCAAAGGGCAGTGATAAGAGATATCAATGGTAGCACTGGATTCCACGAAACATCAGAACTTCCGCATTTCTCATCATTCTCTTTACCATAATCCCTCCCAATCTCTGTTTCTGGCGTCTTTGCTTGTTTTACCTGCTTTCATGCATCCTTTTCTAAATTCTCCCTGTCTCCCCTCTATCGTCTCTCTCCCACCCATCCTAATCTTTTTCTTCCCCCCCTATGTCATCTTGTTCTTGTCCTCCATTTTCAAACTTCGTGGAAGAGCGGTCCTTATCTGCTCCTTCCTTCGTTCTCTCTCATCTTGTTAATCCCCTCAATTTGCCTCCCATCACCACCACTATGGAAATCACCCTCAGAATTCATGACTGATAAATGGCCACGTTTGACCCTGGCTTTCTTCGTAATCCTGGCTGATTTCCTTTCCTGGCTTGTCTTAGCTATTTCATTCCCATTGATGCTAGGGTCTCTAGGGCTTCCCTTAAACCTTTCCCTACTAGTCCTTCCCACCCACGCTGAAGAATTTTACCTAATTCCACAAATTGCCAATGGCTCCTAAACTGACTTCTGAGCTGAGATCCACCAAACAGTGGCTCCCTGCCCCTGCCCAAGTTATGACCCTCCATGTTTCCTATCTGGACTATTACAATAACCTCTTACTGGACTTTCTGCCTCTGGTTTCTAAACAACTTTCCACCTGAATCTATTATTTTCAGTTCCCTTCTTAAAACAGCAAATAGAGAGAAAAAGACCCCCTCATAATGTACAGAGAGCTTTTGGTCTCTGGCCCCAATTTTTATCTCCCTCATTCTGCTCCACACCATATACTCTTCTAGAACAGGAGACTAACTGCTCTTTCTAAAAGAAAATCCAGTCCAATCCCATGGTGGTTCTGGACTTTTCTTCTTGCTGTTAGCTCTTGCTAGAATATATTTCTTCCCTGTCATTTTCCTGGTAAATGCTTCCTGCTTATGCTTCCAGTCCCAGATCCAATGTGACCTCCTCACCTACTTTGCTGAGGAAAATTTATCTCACCCTTATCATGTTGCTATTCACAGTTGCTCATACTAGTAATAAAGTTGTCAATCACCTTGTATTATTGCCTACATTATGATCTTCTGAAGGACAAGGCTATTTTATTTAACTTTTGAATCTTAGTTATTAGAAAATAGTTTATTAATAAATATTTGTTGAATTGAGTTCTCTCCTCCCTCCCAGTCCTGGTTTTGCAACTATAAGAAAATGAAAAATGAACTGACAAAAAGTGACTTGCAAAATTAAGAGACTATCTGATCCATATGAGTTAGCCAATTTCTGCTTTGGGAAGAATTCTATTCAGATGAGCTAAAAAATGGAAACAAAGGTGTGTTTTCTAGTAGGAAACCTGAGTACCTAAATGTAGAAAATTTTGTCATTGTAAGTTATGAAAAATTTGAAGAATGTTCAAATATTTTTCCGTGGGGTCTGGACTAAAATTCACATGGGTATCAAAACGATTCTATATCTGGATGAACCCAAACTACTTCTAAGTTACATGTTAGGAAGTAGTAGAGAAGATTTACTTCCTTCTCTTTGGGTTTTCATGCAGAGGAGTGCCTTGGATAACACTCCCAGCTTCTCTCTCTGCCCTGTACTTCTGTGGGGTGAGTTATTTGGTGAGTTTGGGAAAGTGCACTGTCCACATTCATCAGCTCCCTTCTCTCTTCTGAAAAAAGCACATGTCATGTACCACTCTCCACCATGCTCTCTGTGGGAGGCCTCAGTGCAGGGACAGGACTGCATTTGATTGTGACTAAGCAAGCACGTTTGCAAAATTTAGGATAAGTTATTAGCAAACACTCAAGGCTGCACACCCGAGGCCCATTCTTCGGGGAGTTTTATCATTTTCATCTGTTTGACACCTGTGTCTTTCTCTCAATTGGTTCATAACTGGGTATGGAAATCTCAATTTCTGGAAATAATGCGATTTAAGAAATTTGTTTAATAAACATTCACTCAGGGATGACAATGAGTAATCCATTGTGCAAGAGGTAGGGTGTATGATGGTAAAATGAGAGATTTAAAAATTATAAAATGGAACTACTTCCAGCCAGAGTACCACATCCCTTTCTGACTTACCTTTTCTAAATACCAGGTTCCTGTTAGATGTGAGGGCACAGATGGTATGATTTGGATCACAGTTTTCTTTGGCTGCATTATTTTTCATTTCACTGAATGACGTTTTCTGAGCAATCTTATTAATTTCACTGTCACTCACATTTATACCAAGGAAAGTAGTTATTTTCTTGATGCTTTTAGAAAGATCCTAGCAATAAGAAAAATTATTTTTTAAAAAGTGTAACTCAACAAAACACCAAATTCATTCCCTCAACCCTGAAAACAGAATTTATTGATTTTCTATTTTAATTTGACTTAAATTTTGAATGTTGAAATGTTAGGAAGGACTTACTTTCTTCATTTCTTCATAGAATATAATTAGAATGTTTTTGTCATTTTTGTGCTCTTCCCAGCTTAAAACGTGATCAAACCAGGATCCATATACAACTAGAAGGAAAAATGAATTGTGTGAATATTCAAGAGCATGGGTTGGCACCCCAGGATTCTTCCCACTTCACCAAAGTGGACAAAATAAGGCACACACGTATTAGACTCTGGAGTGAAGGGGTTTTACTTAAGAATTGTTGAATCACTATAGTGTACATCTGAAACTAATATAACACTGTATGTTAACTATACTGGGTTTAAAGTGAAAAAAAGAAAATGTTAATTACATATGTTAATGCCATATCATTCATTATCTATGAAGAAACTTATAATTAGGTTTAATAAAATTCAATAATTAAAAATTAAATAAGATCTTAAATATCCTTTAAAAAGAGTTTCCTTAGAAGAGCCCAATTTTAAAACACTACTGTTTCAACTAAATGCAATATTAAGAAATGAAGCTGGATGGCTGTATCTTTTAATAAGGCTGTGGTTTGGTTTTTTTTTTTCTTATTTTGGTAAATATCTTTTTATCATCATCAGAAGTTACAGTAGAAATACAGAGATACATATTTTCCCAATAATTATGTTCTGAAACTACTTTGGATCTTGGAAGAAATAGAGAAACATTGAGAATTTATTACTTTCTTCCTGTAAATGGCATGGTTTTTATAAGTTCTTAGCATAAAAAGTTTTGAGGAAGTTTATGCTAAGCATAAACTCAAAAAAGGGGTGGGAGAGAAAAGAGAAAAGAAGTCTATTCATTTATCTTAGTTCAAGGTTGCAAAATACAGTGTTAGGGCTTTAAGAGTGGTTGATATTATCTCTTTATTGTTTTGTTTATTTGACAGATCTCAAAAATGTCTAGGGCTGGAAGTAAAATGTTATCATGCAAAATAAATTATCAACTGTGATGATAAAAACAAAAAGTGAGCAATTTCTTGTACCACAGAAAGTTGACTAGCTTGATAATCTAAAGCATATAATAGAGTAATTTAAAATACTGGGTATACATCTTTCCATGCATCCTTATTATACATAGATTTAATACTAGCTAATGCTCAAATTATAAAAGAGTTCCTCCACTCACAATGTTCTGAAGATCAGCTGACTATTGATTCATTTAATAAGCATTTATGAAGTCATTAGTGTCTACCAGATACTGTGCCATATCGCTTTTAAACATGAAACTTTTGAATAAATTGATGTGTAATTAACTCCTAGCTAACTGCAATTGTGTACGGTTTCGGCCCCTGGGGAAGTAAAGGGCAAGAAAATAACCAGAAGCCATTTGTAAAAGACCAGACTTACGGGACTGTGATGGTATCATCATAGAGCCCGATTTTACACCCCCGGGGGCCCAGAGGGCTGTAAAGCAAGAACAGGTGTTTGGAAGGTCTCCAGTTCCTAGCATTCTCACTGCCAGTTCAGTGACTTACAAAATACTTTATCTTGGAATGACCCAAATTACCCTATCAGTGATAAGGAGTTGACCTAAGAACTGCCAGCCTATTGCCAGGAACAAACACAGGGTGAGATAGAGCACTGATTTTTCTCTCCTAGGAGTTTAGGCAGTGAACTGGTCTCTATTGACTCAGACTATGCTGGAAGTTGCCACCTGCATCACCCCCGCCCCCGGGTAGCTGCAGCCCAGCCCCGGTGGAAAACATCACCACCCTCCATACTGTCAGGGAGCCCAGGCCTCTGTGCCCCCGCCCCCCAGCCTGGGCAGGAAAAGAGACCCCGAGTCCTAGGGTCACGGCCGGTGGCTACCTATGATTGACTAGGCCCACTATGGTTTTGCAGCAGGAAATGTATTCCAACATACCCCAAATAAATGTAAGAAAAATCTTTTGGATCATAGCCTGACCATCATTTGAGAGCCAGATATTCTATTATTAATTAATTAATTTATACTTTGTCTTGTTCCAAAAAGACAGAAGAATCTAAAGGAATTGGCTGCCTGGGTCTTCCTTACCCATATAGAGAATTATACTTTGGGTCCTTTTTTTAATCCTAATCCTCATTGTCCAGACCTAAGGCTTTAAAGAAAATACAGCTTCCAAAATAGAGACATAAAAATCTTTTTTTTTTTTCTGGGAAATGCTTTTCTCCACATCCTTCACTTAAAGACAGAATTTTCTACTACCTCCTGCATGGCCTTCCTTCTGTTATCCAGAATAACTTGTTCTCCCCGAAATGCCCAGACCAGAAAAGTTGCTCTTACTTGGCCAACCCAAGTGTGTTAGGGTCTGGACTGTGCATCGGCAATCTTACGGCTTCCTATCAACTTCCAGAACTCCTCCCTCCGAGATAATTCAGGCTCCTATAGGACTCGTGTCCTTTAAATATATCACTCTTCTTAGCCTTATCTCTGTCAGAAGTGGACTTTTTGATCTGTTCCCAGCAGTCATGGAAGACTCTGATCTTAGAACACAACCTCCTGGGGCAGCTCACATCTTGTCACCCACCCGTTGATGGACAGCTTCTGCAAATACCCTACTTGGACCACTTATGTCCTTTTTAATCCTCATTTTCTTCCCCTTGTTCTTCTCCCCAACCTTTTTCTAGCTAAAACCTTCAACTTCCCTTTTTCCTTTATTGTTTATTTCAACCACCTGAAAAAACACTCAATATTGAATCAAAGCACTTTACCTTCTTTTCTTTTTGCCCAATGCTGCTGAGTTCTGCTGAAGAAATTTATACAACTCCATACTGACACCATTACAAATTCATTTTTCCAACCTTAAGGGTCCTGAGGCTGCCTAGCAAACTTACTTGTCCTGCATTAACACATTCTCCTATTTTCCACATCAGCGATTTCAAACCTCCCACACTTTCTGCAAACCCTTTGTCCCACTCCTATCCAGTTTCAACGAACATCTTAATTTCTAGTTTCCAGAAAGCACTTTGATGATTGTGCAGAAATTCACGAGGATGAAGTGCCTAGGAAATGCGGAGTTCTCACAAAAGACTGGAGAGGGGGCTAGTGGGAAAAAAAAAAATATGGTGCTAAAATATTTCATTAGATACTAATCTGTCAGAATATTGCCAGAACACAATTTACAGTTACTATTTAATTTAAAAAACTAAAATGTATTTGTAAACTGTCTGAAAGGTAAATCAGATGATTAGACAAATGTGTGGCTATCTATGTCTTTATGGTACAGTCTCCTCATATAATGTGTATATATTTATGTTTTGGAAACGGGTATAGGATATCATGATGCTTCAGTGTAAAATAATCTTTCTAGATAAATATCTACATGGAAACTTTCCACCCGAAAGTGAAACTATTTAAAAAGTCTTTGCCTGCCTTTAAAAGTCTATGTCCAGGGGCACCTGGGTGGCTCAGCTGTTAAGCATCTCCCTTCGGCTCAGGTCATGATCCCGGGCTCCTGAGATCAAGCCCTGCATCAGGCTCCCTGCTCTGCGGGAAGCCTGCTTCTCCCTCTTCCACTCCCCTTGCTATGTTCCTTCTCTCGCTACCTCTCTCTGTCAAATAAATAAATAAAATATTTTTTTTTAAAAAGTCTATGTCCAATAGAATGAGTAGATTTCTACAGTAAATTTCTAGTCATGACTTCATTTGAACATCTAAATAGTCCTACATAATCCAAGTCCTGGCCTCAAAATGATTAAACAACTTGTCCACAGTTATACAGGGGATAAATTAGAGTTAAGACTTGACCTGTCTTCTTCTGTCTCCATAGCCTGTTCTATTGTATCATGTTATCTTTGGCAAGAGAAAGAATCCTCTCCTCAAAGAGTAGTCACTGAAGGACATCCCTGAAATATAGTCACCTACCTTTGACAGGAGAACAAGCAACCTTATCTTATAAATACTGTTCCACTCAAGTAAATTTTAAAAATCTTTAGCAATTCACTGCTTACTCCCAGTGTCAGCAGGATTTGCCCAGGCTAGATTACCCGATTATATAATACACAGCAGATCTCTTTGCAATTAAAAATCTATTAACGTACCTAGAAGGTATAAAAGAATCATCTGGAATATTTTCTCCAGCTAACTGCCCTTCCCAGATACTCTGCTTTGACGTCAGATAATGGGGTGGTGGATGTCCTAGGACAGCTAGTTTGCCTCCCTGCGTATGGACTGAGTTGCCCTTTTTGTGGCTACAGTCATAGAAAAATAATCTCTAGAAAACGAGTGCTAACAGGCCTGCTTTACACTGTCCTCAGGTCATACCCAGAGGATGCTTTTTGTCCTCTGGGCACTCCAAAACTGTAGCGATGGAGCCAAATTAGAGCTTGTGCAGCAGTGGGAGGGGTAGTGACCCCCAGGTTGTAATAATTGGAGACAAACGTGGCTTTTCTTTTCTTGAGGAAAAGCAGACTCAAGATCTGTTTGTTTTTTTTTAAATAATGTATGTATTTAAACTCTGTTCACTCCAAAAATGGAATGGAGGCAGAGTGAGGCATGTTAACTATCTTCAAATATTTAGAAGGCTATCGTGGGGAAGAGGAATTAGTTATCAGAGGAACGGCTTCCTCTCTAGGCAAGCTATGCCACAGTGCTAACAGGAAGGATCTGGGAGACTGACACCTGAATTTAAACCTGGGCTCCTTATGAGTTATGCAATTGTCTGGCCTGCCAACGTCTGCATTTCCCTCACCTATAAAATAAGAATGATACCTGGCTCTTGTGTTCTAGTGAGGATGATAGGAGATCGTGTTTGCATAGCACTTAGCTAAGTGTCTATATCACATAGTAAGATTTTTTTAAAACATCTTAACAGTACCGAGATGGAATGCGTCATTTGGGGGCAGGAGCTGGGGTGTGAACCTGTTGTCAAAGTTAGGAAGTTCAAGTTTAGCTGGTACAATCCTTGAGAATGTTATAAAGGCAATTCAAACATCAGGCTGGTGATTTTAACCAGACAATCTTCAATAGACCTGTGGCTCCTGAAACTTCGTGACTACTAAATGTTTGCCAAAGAGGAGCTCAGCTATCGTGAGCATAGCATATTCTTCCGTAGGGAATAGGGCAAAAGAAAGTGTTAAACGCAGTTCTCAATACCCTCCCGTTAAAGTTACACTTGCTGTGGCCTCTCTGAAATTAACAAGTAAAAGCTTAATCATTGGCAAGTGAAATAGGGAAACTAACAATAAAGCAGGTCTACCTCTAACCCCAGGAAGAAGGAAGATCCTGTGGGTACAAACCATTTCTAAATCCTGCCTCTTCAAAATTCTGCATCGTCTCGTTACGTTATTTTTATTTAATGAAAGGGTTGGGAACTCAGGTTTGAGAACTGTTTTTCGTTTTTGTTTTTAAGTGCTCCAGATACCCGTGAGTCAGAGAAACATTAATAAATTCAAAGGTCATGCATGGTTAGGCAAGATCAATATGCATTGCACAACTCAATCAAATGATGTATCAGTTTAGTATTTTCAAGAGAAATCGCTTTTTGTTCATCTTTATAAAGCAAGTGTCAAGATAACTAATACCTTCATTTCTTTTATTTGGGGAATTTTATTCATTTTTTTGGAGAGGGAAAATGTGTGTGTGTGTGTGGTTTGTTGGTGTTATTTTCCATTTAAGCAAACATAAGACATGTTTCAGGCTGCCTGTGAAGGTTTCAACTGTATCTTGCTCTACTCCAATCAATGCATAATTATTTCACTGGCAAAACTGATGGTATATGAAAAAGAAGTGATGCTTGATCAGAATTAATCTCTGTTTTACAAACATTGCTATCAGCTCAATAAGTAATTGCAAATCCGTACTACCTACAGGTGATAAGGAAGTCCGCGAAGAAACAAAGTGAGAAAGAAGGGCTTAGAAGTAAAAAAAAAAACAAAACATAAAACCAAAAAGCTATTCAAATGTATTCCTGAAAATGGGTCACAAGGATCCAGTTAAACTTTTAGAAAATGCTTTCATTTGGAGGGGAACTGTATATGATGAATAGAAATCATTGTTATATTTACCATCTCCTCTTAGGAAAAGCTCGAAAAATGCAGCCCAGGTTTCAATGCCAGGGAGATTCGGGTTATCTCTGTAGTAGTGGAATAAAGAAACAGCCGTGTCTTTTGGATTCCTAACGATGTAGATAATCTGTTAAAAAAAATCAGCTTATTTTTAGATGGAAACAGCCCCATGCAAAACATGTTCTCAAAAAAAGCAACTGGACTTAACCTGTCCATGCCAGGATTTTTTGACAGCTTACCCTGATTATTAAGCACAGACTCAGGGCAGTGTTTCTCAAAAGTTAACGTGTGCAAGAATTATTCAGGAATCTTGCTAAAATGCAGATTCTGACACAGAGAGTCCAGCATGCGGCCTAACATTCTGCGTTTCTAATAAGCTCCCAGGTGAGGTTGGTAATGCCAGTCCACTGACTACACTTTTTCAGTTTAGGCACTAACTGTGGCCCCATCATTTTAGCAGTGGATTCGAGAAACCATCTATCCATTTGTAGGACACGATTGCTTTCTTAATATAAAAATTTTTTTAACATAACATTTAAACAATTTTAATATTATAACACATGATTTAAATACACTCAGATTTCTTATAAATTGTCTACTATTATTTATAGGAAGAATGATATTTTAGAATTTCATTTTCTACAGTTGAATCCCCCACAGAGCAGGAAGTCTGAGCCACCCTCCTAATTTACACAAACACTGCCCTTGCAATCGGATTCAGCTTAATGCATTTCTGTTTAGTATGGGCTACGGACTGGGCAGAGTGGAGTGTTCCTGGTCGGAGAAACAGGAGCAGTCAAGCAGAAACATGACCAGCTCCCTCAAAACAGTCAGGTGTGAGCACGGAGTCATGAAGGTTATAACAGGGACGTAGGGACTACAGGAACGTGCATATTAAAAAACCTCAGAAAACCAGGGTGAGGAGCTGAACTATTTTCCATCACAGTCAGTGTTGCATGAGGACCAGATGTTCCACTTGCTCTTAGATCAATAATCAGGTGGACACATTTTACGTAGGTAAGAAAGCGTTTCCTGAGTCATGCTTGATACGTAACTATTGTTCTATACTATGTTCATAGTCCAGGAGTGGTGCGTGTAACCCACATGAACAACACCCGTCCCTCTTGAGAGACGTGTAAAGGCCGCTATGCACCAAGGTGAAAAGCCACCTTTAGCCCCCATTGTATCCCCATTATCCTCTCTTCCTCTCCAGAGAAAATTATAGAGTAACTCAACACTTAGGGCTTTCTTGAACTGCTCTCTGCTTCTCAAGCAGATCCACAGAAACCCAAAGCTCTGAAAGTGATTGAAAAATCCACTCACTCTTTTATTCTTTTTTTAAAGCTGTTTTAAAGATTTTATTTATTTATCTGACAGAGAAAGATACAGCAAGAATAGGAACACAAGCAGAGGAACTGGGAGAGGGAGAAGCTGGCTTCCTGCCAAGCAGGGAGCCCAATGCAGGACTTGATCCCAGGACCCTGGGATCATGACCTGAGTCAAAGGCAGACTGAACCACCCAGGCACGCCTCCCCTCACGGTTTTAACAAAAAGGGATAAAGTGGCGGGATGGGAAGCCTTAGCCATCTAGTTGGAGTTTTTTGTCTGTTTGTTTTGGTAGACAGAAGCATGCTTCAGGACCTTTGGACAATACCCGATATCACATGTCGGTATCCAGTGGGAAGGACAATACAAACTACTAACACATTAATACATATTTTGACAAAAGAGGTTAAAAGAAGTATTCTGTAATTATGTGTAGTGACATGGTAAGTAGACTTACTGTGGAGATCATGTCACAATATATACTAATATCGAGTCGTTAAGTGGTACATCCGAAACTAATACAATGTTGTATGTCAATTAGATACTCAATAAACACACGCATACAATATTCTAAGAAATATTAGGGGATGGTTGGAAGATATGAAGAGAAGGCAGAATAGTAATCTGAGAAAAAAATTAAATGTTAACTAAATATCAGGAAATGAGCTGAAAACAGACATTTCATGTAAGAGAGTTTGGAAGCAGAAAAAAAGATGGGGAGACAAAGATTAGGAAGAAAAGATAGGAGGCTAACTAGGGTTGAGGGCCACAAGAGGAACTGATCACCTGACAGACCTGATGGAGCAGGAAAGCTTCCAGTAGCTTGTAAACTCTGAGGGCTAGGCAGGGGGCAACAGAGGACAGATCATCATCTTGGGAAACCAAGTGCAACCAGTGAATCTCATTTCTCATTAAGATTGTACCTTAAGACTCTGTCTTTACTGTGGTGGTTTTAAGAAGCCACCCACCCTTTCTGAGCTTCAGTTTCTTTGCTGATGAAAGGAAAAATCTATGGTTACCTTTGTTGTAATGTGTTTACAAAACATAGCATAATCTTTGCAACATTGTATGCGATGGATACTGTTATTTCTGTATCAAAGGAGGAAATCAAAGCTAGGAGAGCATCAGCAATTTTCCAAGAGTGGCAGAGCAAGAACCCAAGCCAGGTTTTCTGGTCTTCCCGAACCTTTGCCCTTAATCACTGCACTCACCTTGCATTGTTTTTGCTTAATATTCACTGGTAGCATGTTGTAGCTCAAATGTGTGGGAATAACTCTTCTCTTACAGTTCATTTTTAGCTCGTCAAGTTTAGAAATGTCTCCCAACTCGATAGGAGAAGTTAGATTAATTCGAGCATTAGGAATGTTCCCAATGACCTCCGCAATCCAGTGAGTACCTTCACATAAAAATAAAACAAAACACATTTTTTAAATTAATTGAAACTCTTGATGAAATAAATATAGAAAATTAGCATGAGGTTATAATAGCAAGGAGCGCATTAATTTTGTTATAAATAGTTATTATTACCTCTTGACACCCATTGAAACCTGAGACACTTGTTGAAAGACCAGAGACATCAATTCATTTGACAGGAAGAGTCACACTTTAAAGCATGAAGAGATTGAGAACTGTCTATGCCTTTTTCTCAGCTTGAAATATTCTCCTGTGCTACACTTATCTCTAGCACCTTCTCCAATCCACAAATACGCAGATCTTGCCACACACAGTTCCTCACCGGTCCCGCAAGCTCATGTATCTTGCTCTTTTTTAAACTGTCTTCTGAGTCTCCCCTCCCCTGGCATAACTATTTACACTTTCTGTCCCTCCCAAGTAGAACATACCAGAGTCTAGTTGCTACTGCTTGTATTCATGCATGCATGAAATTCCATTTCCCCCTGGAAGATAGCCCCTGGATCTTAGTTTTGTTTGTGTGCAAACAGAGTGGTCGTGCAAACGAAGCCCTTGAACAATGAACAAATGCTACATTCAAACAGCATAAAGATACAATCCTATGCTACCATGAAGTCTGGAAGGAATACATAAAGCAAATGTGGGTATGCTCCAGGGTTGCAGACAATAGTAAACTGGAGCAGGGAAGCAGAAGTTTGGATGGGGAGGATGCTTTGCTGATTTGAAAACAATGTTCCTAAAAAGTTTAAATCAGGCCTATTTCCTTTCCATTGAACTCATTTGTAATTTCAATTTAAAATCTGTTATAATATTCACTAATTTATAGCTGAATAAATATTTAAATGGTGCTCTCATCTGCATGATGTGTTTTAAATTTAAGACTTTAAGATAATAATGCTCATAAGTCAACTCTAATATTCATATGAGCATGACTAATATAACTAATGACATTTCTATTATTTTCACAGGATGTATTGATTTATTCTGGTGAAGAAGACAGAATACAGTTTTGGATCATATTCAGGGGCCTCCAGAGCTGGCGGGTGATATAATTTATAGGCATCAATATGTGCAGTGGAAACTTTATATATGGTTGTTTATATAAGGTATAAGCTAGACACCTGCTCAAAGAACCTTAAAAGTATCATAAATTACTTTCTGAACTAACATATCAATTTGGGGTAAGGTATGTTTATTCACGGAGTGACCTACCACATAGAGAGAATACTGAGGTATTCTAGAAGCAATCACTTAATTTCCATCTGCAACACCATTTTCCAATAAAATAATTACATATGTGATTTACATTTATTCTCCAAAAACACCCTAGAAGGTCTATGTGAACTCTGTGTCTTCTAATGGAGAGGGTCTCTTGGGCCTGATTCCCAATCAGATAAAAGGACTAAAATGCAAACATGATTTGAAAGAGCTAAACTCTTAGTTGCTGGATCATGCTAGCAAGCATATGCCTATTCACACATGTCCACTCTTCTGGAAATCACAGCAGGCAGGTTGATATTATATACCCTGACCACCTCTCAAAATTAAAAAGAATGTATAATTAATATAGACTACCCCAGGATGCCATTATTCATAATGGTCCTTTCATGAGTGTATAGCCATATATGGAAATAAACTTTTCATAAGAAGGCATAAAATTGAACACTAAAGTGGCACCTGGGTGACTCGGTTAAGTGTGTGTCTTCAACTCAGGTCATCATTTCAGGGTCCTGGAATGGAGCTCCCATCAGTGGGGAGTCTGCTTCTCCTTCTCCCTCTGCCCTTGCCCCCTGCTCCTGCTCTATCACTCTCTCTCAAATAAATAAATAAAATCTTTTAAAAAATGAACACTAAAAATACTTATGGTTTTTTTATTAGCTCAGGAAAGAAATTGTTCATTTATAAATCAATCATTAAAGTATGAATTGAACAAATCTGCTTGTGGCCATGCCAGGTACAAGTATGAAGAGAGCTTTATAATATTACAGACAATATGCTTATTATGTATATCAACATTTGTATACTTTAATGAATAAAAGAGAAACAAAACTGTAATAAAAGCTCTAGTTGAATTTTCTTGAAACACAGTTTTCAGCTTTCTAATGTCAAACTTTTTCATTAAAATGAGCATTTAGGATACTTAAATTTCCTATGGATAAATTCTGAAAAATAAATGTTTTGTAAAAAGTATTATATTTCTATAGAGTAGTCTACTATATTATTATATTATTATTATATTTTGATATAGTAGAATATCATACTTATTTCTTATATTTCACACATTTTAAAATGTACTTATACATTTAAAAATACATTAAAATAAACTTTACCAGATTTTGGATAGGACACCAGAAACACATCATCTTCTCTTGCATTGAAAAAATCCAGGGAATTTAGAAGTTCTTCTGAAGACATAGTAGAAAAGAGGATCCCCTTGAATTTATGAAGAACACTTGACTGGTTCTGGAACGACATCTTTTGTCAAATGAATCAAAAAGTATTATGAAACACTAACTTTACACAAGGCACAGAATAAGTAAGTTCCTTGATGTTAATCCTAGCTCAGTGGCAGGATAATCTTAGAATTACTAAGCTGGTGTTTCAGCTAGAGGAATATGTATATATATATACATTTTGCAATTCTCCATAGGAGTAATTTTTAAACAATAACTAAGCCAAAGTCTACTGTGAAAATGATGTCACTTTCTTGATAACACATTACAAAATATTTCCTCCAACTTGACATTCAAAATAGTTTACATATAAGGCTATCAAGCTAACAGAATGTAATTATTATCTGAAAGGACCAGAGTTAATCAAATCCTTTGGCCTTAAAAAGAAAAGAATTAGTGGTGATAAGGGATTATGTCACTGTGGAAAGGACAAGAAAAGTTGAATGCAATGTTAATATTAACACATAGTGAGAAAGTAGCTAATATGTATTATGTTGCTGGAAGAGGAGAAAATTGAGTGAGGAAATATAAATTTTTCTCAGAATTGGCAGATAAACCCGAGACTAAAGATAAACTTCACAGGAAATACTTTAAGAAAGATAACATGGGACTCAGGAAACCCAAGCCAGAAAATAGATATCTTGAGTTTGTTGTATAGAAGTTTATGGCTGAATTAAGCAAAATTCTTGTCTGAGTCATTCTTTGGTTTTCTCACTAATATTGTTATATTCTGGATTCAATGAGATGTGGCAACAAAGTGCCCAATGCCCAATAACTTCAGTGAACCACAGTGAATTTTTTTGTTTGCTTGTCTAACCATCAAAAGAAATGTATATCAACCGGGAAATGACCAGCATTTTATTGAGCATAAAAAAGTAGAGGTCTACTGTGGAAGAAATAATTAAAGAAGAAAGATATTCATGATAGTGGCAGAAATGACATTCAGAATAATCATATACATAGGAAATTCTAAAGAATCTATAATTAGAATAAACATGTAAATTGGGCGTGGTTGCTAGACGATGGAAACAAATTGTATTTCTACATTCTAGCCAACCCAAATGAAAAATAAAATTCGAAAAACACTACTATTTACAATAATATGAAAAAAATCAAATGTCTAGAAACAAAAGATATGCAAGGCATTGAAAATCACAAACTATTACTGAAACTAGTTAAAGAAGACCTAAGTAAAAAGAGAAATATACCATGTCCATGGACCAGAAGACTCAATATTATTCAAATGTCAAAATTCTCCTCATTGATCTACAAAGTCAATTCTGTTTGATCAAAATCCCAACAGATGTGTGTGTGTGCGTGCGTGTGCGCGCACGAGCGTGCACATGTGTAAATTGACAAGCATTTATATGAAAATGCAAAAGCAGAAGAGCCAAGGAAATCTTAAAGAACAAACTTGTAAGAGTTAGATTATCAGATTTTAAGCTTTAGCATAAAGCAACACTAGTTAAGACAGAGTGGCCTGAGCTCAAAGATACATATATAGATCAATAGAATGGAATAAAGAGTACAGAAAAAGACCCACATTTAAATGGTCAGTTGATTCATGACAAAGGTATAATTCAGTAAAAAAAAAAAAAAAAAAAAAAAAAGATGGTCCTTTGAATGAACGTTGTTTTGTTCAATTAGATTCATATGGAGAAGAAAAAATCTTATCTTACATCATATGCAAAGAAAAATTCAAGCTGGATCATAGAATTAAATTGAAAAAAAGTTTCCAGGGGAAAACAGAATATTTTCATGAGCTTTTGGCAGGTAAATTGTTCTTAAATATGATACACAAAAGCACTAACCATTAAAGAAAAAAAATTATAGTTGGGCCTGATTAAATTAAGAGCCTTTGTCAATTAAAAGACACCATTAAGAAAGTAAAAGGCAAGACACAGACTGGAAGAAAATACTGTAATTACATATATTCAACATTATACTCACATCCAGACTCTTTAAATTACTCCTCATAATCAATAACATAAAAATCAAACAACTCAACAACAACAACAACAAAAGAGCATACCCCTGAATAAGCCTTTGGAAAAGTGTTTAACATCAGCAGTTATTGAGGAAATGGAAATTAAAATTAGCATTATGGGAAGATCTACTCCCACAACGTTGGCATGATAAACTCTGTGGACCCACTCCCTGATGAAACAACCATAAATAATGACAATTATTTTAAAAATAAAATAAATGTTTAGGAGCTCCTGGATTGCTCCGTAGGTTGAGCCTAAGCTGAAGGCCTCTCCCTTGCCCCGACTTGGGCACTCTCTCTCACTTGCTCTCTCTCTCAAATAAATAAATAAAATCATTAACAACAACAAGCCAGTTGCTGTCAGGCAGTTGCTGTCAAATTGTAGTTAAGTACTGGATTTTTCTGAAGACTTGACTGGGCTCGTCACAGAAGACAGCTTGATCACCCGGCTGGCCGTGGATTCCGGCTGTTTACTGGGATGGGGCTCTCTATCAGAGAGCTTATGCGTGGCTTTTCCATGTGGCTTGGGTTTTTTACAGCACGGTGGCTAGATTTTGAAAGGGAGCATTTCTAGAGGGAGTGCTCCAAAAGACCGAAGCAGAAACTGCAAGGATTCTTATGACCTAGTCTTGGGAGTCGTGTGACATCAATTCAGCAATATTCTACCAATGATACAGGGTCAGCCCAGACTCATTGCGGGGAGAGGACTACATGCGGATGAACACTGGGAAGTGTAGTTCTCGGAGCCATTGGTGGAAACTAGCTCTTACAGGGTTCTTGGACTTCCAATGTCTCATTTCCCTCCTGGCAGCAAAATGCTCTCATAACCTTCGCAAGGCCTCCAAGGTCCCACTCTGTCAGTTGTCAGGGTCAGGCTTCCCGTCTGTGATCTCATCACCTAAATCAGGTCCAGATATCAATGGGGCTTCCTGGGGCCATTCCCTTTGCGGAAGCTCCTTGAACGCAGCTTCTGCAATACGATTCTCTCAATCTTTAGACTTGTGAATTAAAGAGACCAGTTATCTTCTCCTACACCCCACCATACAACAGGAACAAGGGTATGAGACACGTTCATTTAAAAAGGCAAAGGACAGGAAGCACATAACTGTTGGAGGACGATAGAAATTTCATGTAGTCCAGTCCTCCTCCCTATCCATGATTCTGGATGGCTCTAGGCTTTGTGATCTAAGCTCTTGGTTCCGAGCCATCTTCCTTCTCCATCAGAAATAACACTTCAGTCAGCTGAGCTGACTTCTCAGGCTGACTCATGCCTGTAGAAGGTTGGGGTCCTATAGCTCTTTTCCTGTAGAGTTGGCTCTGTCCCTTTAAGTCCATGTAGGGGGTTGGTTTGTTTGTTCATTTGCTTAAAAAACAGTATCTAGGTTTTCTGTGGTTACTGTTGGTGCTCCCTCTGTGAAACAAAAGCCACATCCACAAATAGGCTGCATTCTCCTTTGGGATGAGCATGGGGGTGCTTGGAGATTACGTCTTTAAGGTTCTTAGAAACCTTAAGGTAATATTTGTCTAGCAGGTAATATTTGACACGTGTGCCCTTAAGATTTTCTTTTCTTTTTATGCCCCTAAGAGTCTTTTTTAAAATCTTATTTTATTGAAATTCAATTAAGCCCTTAAGATTCTTAAAAGCCTGTAGCCTACCTATGAAGTCTGTGAGGCACAAACGTGTTTTAATCTTTCTGAGGTGTCATTAAAGGGTCTTATGACCACATTCTTAACTTCATTTTCACCTTGAGAACGTGTTTTGCTGGTGGTGTTATGGATGTGATCTTTGTTCTGGTGTCATTCCTTACTTTGAGACCATCTTGCTCACTGGAAAGACTGTCATGGGCCCCCTCTATTTCCACTAGATTCTAATTAAAACCTGGGCAGTTTCTTCTTTAGTTCAACTCCCTTCCCATTTTTATTATAAGCAATAGAAGATACCAGTTATCACTTTCAGCATTTTTCCTGATAATCTCCTTCACAAAGCCACATGTGTGTCAAGTACTCTTCCTATTTTCCATACTTACTCAGGGAAGAGTGTTGCTAATCGTTCTTCCATATATGATTCATATCCTCTTTCATTCAGCCTCCAATAATCACTTTATCATTATCTTAGTCACTGTCTTTTTAAAAAAAAAAAAGACTTTATTTATTTATTTGACAGAGAGATAGAGATCACAAGTAGGCACAGAGGTAGGCAGAGAGAGAGAGGGAGAAGCAGGCTCCCTGCTGAGCGGAGAGCCCAATGCAGGGCTCGATCCCAGGATCCCGAGATCCTGACCTGGGCCAAAGGCAGAGGCTTAACCCACTGAGCCACCCACACGCCCCTCTTAATCACTGTCTTACAAGAATTTGTTAACAAGTTTCTGGTGGCTTGTCAGGTTTCTGCTCACTGTCTAGTCCCCAAGTCAATGTCACATGTTGTAGGTTTTTGTTATAAAAACACTTCATATTCAAGTACCAATCTCCATTTTATCATCTATTTGCTGAATAACAAACCACTCCTTTAAAAAAAAAAATGTTCATTTATCTGAGAGCAAGGGAGTGAGCGAGCAAGAGAGAGAGCACAAGCTGGGAGGGAAGAGACAGAGGGGGAAGCAGATTCCCTGCTGAGCAGGGAGCCGGATGTGGGGCTTAATGGGGGGCTTGATCCGGGGCTTGGTCCCAGGATCCTGGGATCATGATCTGAGCCAAAGGCAGTCACTTAACCAACTGAGCCACCCAGGAGCCCCAACAAACCACTCCTAAAATGTAGTATCTTCAGACGACAGTGTATTGTCTGTCATAGTTTATGATTTCACTGGGCAATTCTCATGATAGCTAGGGCTGGAGGAATGTGAAGACTGAGCTGGTGCTCCAAGATGACTTACTTACAGTGAGGAGGAGATGATGCTGAATGTTGGCTAGGGCCCTCTACCAAATAACCTTTCTACCATTTTGCTCTTTCCTTCCTTCTCCCCTCTTTGTCGGTCTTTCTGTCTTCCTTTCTCCCTTCCTTCCTTCCTTTCTTCCTTTTCTTCCCCCTTTCCCTCTGA